CATCGCTGTCTACTATGTCGCGCGTGAGAAATGAATTTTCGTTAAGTGCCCAGCGTGTATGCTGTGCTGGAAGTGTAATCAAATTACTTGGATTCCTCATTTCTTCATGATATCAGCAATTTCTTGGACGTCGTCGGCGTTCATCAGCACCGATCGCCTCGGGAGGACAGGAAGTACACAGGGGTATAGCGGCGATAATCTCGCATGAAGCATATGACCCCACAATATGAACCCACATAACCCAGAAAAAACTGTCAAATGACTTGAATCTACCACCTCCACAGAAAGGGTCAAGTTAAAACATGATCCACTCATTGCATGGAAGAACGACTTGCGTTCGTCTTCCATAGCAGATGTCAAAAACAAGACCACGAAGATTGTATTTGATCGGACAAATTCGTCTTGAATGAGCAGAATATCTGGAGCTCAATTGCGCGCATTACACTAAAATATGGACAAAAAGCAAGTTAAAAAAAGCCATCCTAGTGGACTTAAGGGCGCCGGATCAGGATTATATATTTTCCTCCGATTACACCTGACCTCCTTTGTATCATCCCTCAAGGATGTAAAAGTCCTTTACCGCTCCTTCTAACAAACCAATGTAAGAGGAATTTGAGTCAGCCATTTACTATAGCAAAAACGTCCGAAAACGGTCGCATCTGTGAAAGGGAAAGAAGAGTAAAGTTACTGAGTTGAAATAAAAAAGGCAGGAACATGACTGGAAGAAAGAAGGTACAAACTGGAACAACGACATCGAAAGCCGGCTGACCTAGAACATTCTACTACAATAAACTTAATCGATTTGCTCAGAAAGAAGGATGTAAAGTGGATCCAAATGCCATAGAATAACCTCTGTCGGCAATTTAAAGCTCATTTAAGTAACGAAAGACAAGAAAACATTTAAATCTCATCATAAAAAAATGACGCCAAATATTGAAACCTTCTCGAACATTCTTAGCCAACTCAAGTAATCTTTGTATAGACAATCAACGATTATTTATCCATAAAACAAACTGCCCCACTGTTTAATATTCATTAGATGTCGCAAAACCATTGCAATGATTAGTTGTATCGATTACTGAGGGATAAGACTGTCTTCCTGTTTCTTCTTGATTATCTGTTTGTTTCCTCGCTATCCTTTTTTTCTAGACTAGACTATTTCGCCCGAAGCTCTGTTTGAAAGATCTTTCTGTCGATCGACTCCCTTTCGCTCCCTTCACTTCCATTGTCTTGCCTTGCCTCTTCGTAAGGCTTCCTCTTTTCCTTTCCTTCAATATTTTGTTTTCCTTTTTTTTCCATTTTCCATTCCTCATCGTTTCTTTTCTTTTCCTTTCTTTCCAATCCTTTCCTTTTCAATCTTCTTATATTTACTCTTTTACTTTTGCTTTCCTTTTTTTCCTTCCTTTTTATGTTCCTCAATCGTTCTTTCCATATTTTCCATTATTCTTTGAGATTTCATGGATTTTCCCCCCATCTCTTTTTTAACTTATTATTTGTTTGTTAGGGCCAGTACCTTATGTTCTTTTAATGAATGCATATTTGTAAAACATATTTTAAGTCAATCTATATTATAAATATCGTTGTTGTATTTTCTATCCCATTTAAAATCTTCCACTCATTTACCCATCCATTTGTTCGCTCTCTCCACGATAGCTACGAAAATTACGACTACGACTCTTTTAATCTGAAAATTTAATAAATAAATAATCGCCATCTTTCTATTTTACAGTTTATGTTAAAGAAATCAAGGTATTAAATATTCAAAAGAAAGGAGAAACCAAACAAAAGCACGAGTCAAAGAAAAAAGAAGATTATGAGTACGTCATTGAAGTAAGTACAAATCCTATCATAGCTTTATTTTCCCTCTTGACTTTATCATATCAATAGCCTTTTATTCTAGCAAAATGCTAACATCCCGAAAAGATTCGCTTTGTTTCTCGAATGTGATAACTAATACAAAAGCATTTTTGGATTTTTGTTTTGTCATGCTTTTTGCTCATTTAAATGAATATTATTCGTAGTGGTGGTGGTGTTGTTGTTGTTGCTGCTGATGGCGATGTTGGTGGGGTTGTTGTTGTTGCTACTGTTGATGGTGGTGTTGGGAGGGGTTGTTATTTTTGCTGCTGTTGATAGTGGGTTTGTTGTTGTTGTTGGTGATGGTGTTGATGGGGTTATCGTCGTTTTTGTTGCTGCGGCTCGTCGTTTGCTGCTGCTGTTCACATGTTGCTGCTGCTGTTGTTGATCGTGGTGGTTGTGTTGCTGGGGTTGTTTTTGGTGCTGCTGTTCGTGTTGTTTGCTGCTGCTGTTCACATGTTGTTGCTGCGCTGCTGTTGTCGATGCTGTTGTTGTTGTTGCTATTGCTGTTGCCTAAAGTCTGCCAAAAGTTTGCGATGCGTTCTTACTATCTTCTTGAAAATGTTCTAAAAAAGTTATACACGAAACGTCTATTATTGCACCATGAACATCTTGTTAACTTATTTCTTTTGAAGAAAGTCTTATTACTGCCTTTTCTTTCTTAACCATAGGTCACTTGGTCTGATGATGCGAATGATAAAATTCACAGATCGTATGAAGAAATGTTTGATTTTCAATGCAAAGTAAGTGCTCTTTGATGGATGGAGTTTTCATGGTTACGTCTTTATTGATGTCAGAAAATAGGTCTGCACTAAGATAGATAGCAAAAATAGAGCATTCTGGCCTACATTGGGTGCGAATATCTCATGTTTACGTAAGCTAGAAAGAATGAAAAACTACTCCGCCACACTTTACAGAATGGGGCTTCTAGCTCTGAAAGAGCACACAGAGTTTCTTTGAAATGGTTGCAAGGCACGTGCACTTACTAACTACCATGGTGTTGTGTTTGTCTTGTGTACTAGCTTCGCAAGATGTATCCAAACAAAGTCGATGAAAATGGTCAGCCCTGGAAACTTCCATTCCTACCAGGTAATCTAAGGGACGAGCGAAATGTAATAATAATAGGTTTTCTTGGTGCTAATAATATGAATATTGGCTGTTACAGGAAGAATAAGAATTTTTAACAAGGCTGAACACAAAGGAGAACGAACACCAATCCCTGACATTGGTGACTATGCACGGTATGTTTTGAACCAATTTGTTACTGACGCTTTTTCCCCAAAAAGAGGTAATGATAGTGGTGGTGACCACGGATGATGCTGATGATGATATTGATGGTGGTGCATTGATGGTGCTATGGAGTAATAATGACCACGGATGATGCTGATGATGATATTGATGGTTGTGCTTTGATGGTGCTATGGAGTAATAATGATCACGGATGATGCTGATGATGATATTGATGGTGCTATGGAGTAATAATGACCACGGATGATGCTGATGATGATATTGATGGTGGTGCATTAATGGTGCTATGGAGTAATAATGACCACGGATNACGGATGATGCTGATGATGATATTGATGGTGGTGCATTAATGGTGCTATGGAGTAATAATGACCACGGATGATGCTGATGATGATATTGATGGTGATGCATTGATGGTGCTATGGAGTAATAATGACCACGGATGGTGCTGATGATGATATTGATGGTGGTGCATTGATGGTGCTATGGAGTAGTAATGACCACGGATGGTGCTGATGATGATATNCGGATGGTGCTGATGATGATATTGATGGTGGTGCATTGATGGTGCTATGGAGTAGTAATGACCACGGATGGTGCTGATGATGATATTGATGGTGGCGCATTGATGGTGCTATGGAGTAATAATGACGTATACTAATGTATTTATAGTGATATTGATGACGATGGTGATGGTGATGGTTGTGCAGGATATGTTGTTGGAAATGACAGTGTAGATGACGGTGTGCGAGTAAGCAATTATGAGATGTAGGGCTGATTAGTGTGGTAATGAAGGCTGAACACGAGAATGGTGGTAGGTTATTAGTATTAGTAATCTAGATGATGATTATGATGATAGTGGTAGTGGTAGTGGTAGTGGTGTAGTGGTAGTGGTGTAGTGGTAGTGGTGTAGTGGTAGTGGTGTAGTGGTAGTGGTGTAGTGGTAGTGTGGTAGTGGTAGTGGTAGTGGTGTAGTGGTAGTGGTAGTGGTAGTGGTGTGGTAGTGGTGTAGTGGTGTAGTGGTAGTGGTAGTGGTGTGTTGGTAGTGATGTAGTGATGTAGTGGTAGTGATAAGCCGTTGTTGATGATAGAGGTGATGGTGATGGTGATGATAACGAGCATGATCATTCGATGATGATGAGTGATACAATGATAATAATAATAGAAATGATAGAATCATTTATCCGTATATTTTTCTTTCAGCTTGTTCGCCTCGCTACCAAAGTTTGTTCGTGGCTGTGAACATGTTTTAAATTTCTTCCATAACAACGAAAAGTCAAAAAACCGCGAAAAGAAGTCCAAAAGCGCCAAAAAGGAGGAGAAAGCAAAGGCGAAACAGGATTCACTCAAAAACAACAAACAAAACGACACCAAATCGAACGATAACAAACCAAGCGAAACAACCTCAACAGAAATCGAAAAAAACCCTTCATCAGGCGAAAAAGGAGTCTCAGACTCGACAACAAAGCAAACTGTGGAGAATTCGGAACAAATAATCGACAAGGAAAAACAGAAAGAACTTGACAATATAATAGAGACGTTAAAACAAGAGGATTCAGGGAAATCACTTGATTGGAGCGAAATTGTAGACTATAACGATAACTACATCACCTCATCAATGAATGGTAAGTTACCTTAATCATAACACCAGAAACTAGACGGAGGTGAATCCTCTATATCATCCACCTATCTTGAATAGGGTGGTGGGTGGTGTGCACTGCTAACTGTTCCTCTTAATGGATTCCTTCCACAGACTTGCCATCACATTTGTGAGGAAAATTGCTTGATTGTTCTTTCTTATGCCAAGAGGGTTTTTTTCTGTCTTCTCCGGTTTTCCTTCTGTCTCTCTTCTTCTCTCTTCTCTTCTTTTTCTTTACGAAAATCAACTTCTAAATTCGAACTCGCTCATGTAACGAGAAACAGAGGTTCGTTAGCCACTTCCTATTAAGAGTTACCCTCTCAAAAACAAGTAGAGGACGATTTTCATTAATTGATAATCAGGATAATCAGGAGTCCATTTATCTTTACAGGCGACATTGCTGCTGAAGACAAGCTAACTGATCTCGACACAGTGGTTTCCGTGACCAACTATATGGAGGGCAAAAATGGCATAATTAAACTGAACTCTTTGCAAAAGTCGACCTCGTCTGTATCGCCCCCAGTCGGTACGTAGTGCTTTTGAACTTCTAAATGCTAATATTCTCAGATATATCGATCGTTGTTATAAATAGATTTTTAATATTGTTTGGGACTTTCTTTACTTAGTGAGGTGTTCAGCTTAGAATTGTCCCGTGATAAAGTATATGCCAGTTGTACTAGTTCTTACATTTTTATAAGATTTTCATTCCAGGCGTTTTACTCACATGCAACCTTAAATAACAATTTTTAAAATCGAAATTGAATCATTCCATTCAAAGTCTAACAAAGGGAAATGAGCACTAGTTTGGAGCGTTTCCTTTGTCTTTCTTAATACACCTCTTCTCCTTGGGCAAATTGTTTTTCGATTTCAAACTACGTAACTGTCATTCTCTAGATTATTATTTCTTTGTTTAACGGTTACGCACGAGAAGACACACGAATATGGATACAAATCAAACGACCAATCTTATTCTCAAGAGCCCGGTTGTACGAAGCCTGGATAGCGCTATCCGGCGGATAAATCTTGTCCAGCGGATAAGTCGATGCTGTTATCCAATAAATTTATCCACTGGATAGGATTTATCCGCCGGATAGCGCTATCCAGGCCTCGTACCACCGGGCCCTGGGAGAACATTAGGCCCAAGGCGAAAAGGTCTATTAGGGCGGCTAACAGTTTCTAAATTAGATGTGAAATTTTTTAATAGATTTGGTAAATTGAAATACTGCATGGGATATACAAATATAGGTGCATACAGGTTCAATTGGATACGGGTTCACATCATATTCTAGCCTCACGTTGTTCCCAGTGAAGAAACAAAAAGAATGTTGAAATTCAAATGCAATAGGACGTTTGCATGATGGCGTCATTGACCTCTACTACCAGACTCCCTTGCACACTTTCTTCTGTGCAGTTAATAAGCACCAATTGCCTTACTATTCTCACGAGGGAATGTATATTTGAATAAGAAAGAAAATTCGTGTAGCATTTTGGTAGTGGGAGTCAAATGACGCCACCATGCAAACGTATCAATTTGAAAAACGAGTCACGAAGGAAAGAATGCGGTAGTCTTGACCTTTGGATGAATGAATATAAATGTTAAAATGGGATACTACATTCTTTCCACCACCTCGGCTTTGAAACCCAGGATTTCTAAGGATGGTTTTGTGGCTTTAAATGAGTGGTTTCTTTAACTGTTTCTTTTTATAGGTTATTTAAGAATAATTATAAAATAACTGTTATAAAACTCGCGTTCTGATTGGTTGGGAGCGCATGCTTTATGAGTGCACGGCAGGCAGCACGCGCACGCACTTTCAGTTGCGTCATTCCTATCCAAAATAACGGTTGTTGTAATTTGTATTTTATAAAAGAAATAAAAAACTTGCTTGCTGTGCTGTGTGCAGTTATGAAGCACTTGGGGATTGGCAGAACACTCGAGAAGTGTCGAGAAGCACTCCGTAACAGGTCGTGCTTCTCCTAACACTTCTCTCGTGTTCTGCCAACCCCCGTGTGCTTTATAACTGCACACAGCACGCGCGCGCGTTTTCTATTTCTTCAATGTTGAATTAGTGTGAGGCATTTGCATGTAGTATCATAAGAGAGAGATTTTTAAATCTTTGCGAACACTGTAATTATTACACCTTTGTATTCTTATATTTCTGATCACCATTTAATAATAATAATAAAAATGGAAGTTGAATCTGCAATTATCAGTATCACTAATTTTGCATACAACTTCTTCATGTTTGACTATGCAAACTCACCAATAGTCAAGCATAATGTCCTAAAACAACATGCATAAAAACAATTACTTAGGAGGGATATTCAAAATTTTTTCTCTGTTTCTTTTTCCAATTCTTAYTTTTTATGCTGCTACTACCACGACCATTTTGGTCATTGACCTCACAGCTACTGCTATAAGGTGCTGTCCTTGATTTTGATACTTCTGCTTCAACTATTGCAGCTGCTGTAGTTGTTGCTGCTGCTGTCGTCACTACTGTTGATGCTTCTGCTTAAGTTATTGCTTCTGCTGTTGATGCTTTGGCTTTAGTTGCTGTTGTTGTTGCTGTTGTTGTTGCCACGGTTACCTTGGTCGTAGTTTCATCTATTGCTGTTGTTTCTGGCACTTGTGTTCATATGTATATTGAGATTTAGATCATGTAGACAGCCTTCGGACCATCAGCAACTTCTTCCTGATTAGCTCACTTCTCATGTCTTCAACAGGTCCAGTAATAACCACTACACAAGCATCCAACACCAATCTCTACCCCATCAACTCCACTTTTCTATATACCTCACAAAACAACAACTTGAACTTCTCCAATCCTGGCCTTCAAAACTCTCATTCATCACTTAACGCTTCTTCGAGTATTACCAACACCTTCATGCCTTTACATCCATTTGTTGTTCGTTCATCAATCAGTGCACCCGTCGCAACTCCCATTGAATCATCCCCCATGTTCCCATCATATTCCCATTCATTTAATCGTCGTTCAAGCACCGGCAGTTGGACCTTCCGTACACCTGCCTGTTCACTAACGGTACAAGACTGGCTGAAGAACTTGAGGTTACATAAGTACTCCGAGACATTCAAAGGAAAGACGTTCAACGAGGTATGTAGTACCGATTTCATTTGTGTCCAGTTACGACTATACAAAAAGGTTTAGTTGAAATAAGGGAAACATAGACCCGAGCCTTGCTTGTCGCTATAGAGACACGAGCCGAACAAGCTCATGGCTAATCMGTCGCCACGATCGATCTCAGCCAAGCTGTTTCCAGCTTTGCAGTCAGTGCTGGTTTCTATGATAACACCTATTGTATAAGCAAAACTTGCCTGTGGCCAGCCACAACCATGAACTTTGGGTTAAAAGTACAAAGACTAAAGGACAAAGCAAAGCTTTCAGACTAAAGCCCCCAATTGACTGACCCTTTCTTATGCAATTCGTACAGATGAAATTCTCTTACCATGACCTTCTTCTTCTCTTAACAGATTTTAAAGCTCAGTGATAAAGAGTTTGAAAAACTCGGAATGACAATTGGCGCAAGACGTAAACTTCGAGTCAACTTAGAAATACTAAGGTACGTAATTAAAGATCTAAAAGAATGAACGATGTTTCTTCTGCCACAATTAAGATATCCTGAGAAGCTATCATATCTGTCTGGGTTCCACTCAGACACGCAGGATGATTTTCCCTCTCATCACAAAAATTAACTATTAACTCCAATGCCATGGTGGAACAAGAGTCACGTATTTGTTAGCCACTTGCTTTTGCGGTGCTCCCCTTGAAAAACAAGAACGATTTATATATTTTTATCTACTTTTCCCAATTGATAGAAAGAGGGGTTGTTTCAGTTCAGACGGGCTAAGAGTCCTGGACGTTCTTCCTGTTTCTCCCTCGTCGTACCACGCACCTGTCATATCAACTTCTTCATCCTTCAATGGCAATGGGTACCCCTGTGGTGGTTACTGCTCCGACACTGACTTCGTGAGAGGAATGAGTGAAAGCGACAGTGCCAGCGAGTGTGGCAGTGATATTCTTTCTGAATCCTATCCACAGGTAAACATGCTAGATATTGTTTTAGAGTAGTTGTAATCTGTAAATGTCAGGAATAAAAATAAAGATCAAAGGTGCCTCTTCGGTAGTTACGGTTCCGCCACTGATTTTGTGAGAGGAATGAATGAAAGCGACAGCGATATTTTTCCGAGACTCCTGTCCACAGGTGAATATTTAAGGATGGAATTTAACATTACTCACTTGAGAMTAGCTTTCTGGAAATGTCGTGAATAGACCCCTTGCGTGTGACGTCTAAGGAGCTCAATTTGGAGGACAATACAAAAGAAGTTCGATCTCCTTCGAATTGGAAACCTATCGTTAATTCAAATTGAGCTGCATTCCGAAGTGCTGCAATGGTCTATAGATCCAAACATCATGAAAAGACTTATGGTATTTTGTACGTTGATACTCCTCCGCAAAGCGTTGCGGGTTTTTTCCCCAAAGGGACCCCGTGGAAAAAAGCACCGCAAATAATGTGCATTTCAAATGCGGAAATGTACATTCTTGAAATTCGGGTCTAAATGAGCGTGGTATTCCAAACTAACCAATTCATCTTGTCTCCATTCCAGGCCAAATACAATGGCTTTGTTCCTTTTAAGACTACAACACCTAATGGATGTCGTTTATCATGTTATAACTGTGGTAGCCTGGGTCACGTGGGGGGTCAATGCATGGCACCAAATATGGAAAAACGTCTAAACTGTAGTGAGTATTGGAGTTTAATATATTTTWAAAAATCTCATGTGCAGTAAAGACTTTGAAAAAATAAGTAAACGATAGGAGCACCCTAAATAGTAGTGGTAGGCCTAGTTTCCTCTGCAGCCGCTATTAATGTCGTCATGCAACGCTCACCCCCTAAGTTCGACACTAATAGCGGCTGTCTAGGCCCGGGGGTGGGGGAACTCCCCTTTATTCGCTATACGGCTACGTGCCGCCAAACAGGGTATRGTTTTCAGCGATTCTACTCTGGAACAGGGTATATAAAATCACGCTCGCTCTGGAACAGGGTATATGAAATCATGCTCTCTCCTCTCTGGAACAGGGTATCCATTTTTGCAATAACGAAACAGAGTATGATTTTCAGCGATCTTGCTCTGGAACAGGGTATGAATTTCAGCGATTTTACTCTGGAACAGGGTCAGTGTTCAGTAGGCTCAGCGGCACATCCCTACCCTAAACGGGCAAGAGTACCCCCCGGGTGCCTAGGAGACTACGATAATCCCTAAGAAAGAAGAGTGTCATTGCTATCACCCATCTTCAACATTTTATCATACAAGAGGAAAACGTGTTAGCGCTATCGCCGCTGCCTCTTCTTGCCAGATCCCTGTATTCATCCAGGCAAACTTTTCTTATCTTAGCCTGACATTAAATTAACCTGCTCACGTGGCAAGTTTGGAACTTGCTCCATTGAACTGATATAACACAGGGTATAAGATTGTCTGGACTGATTTGAAAAGAAAAGGCAAGACTGGGAGTGAGATGGAACAGTCTAGTTTTGCTAACGAAAGTTGATTGTAATTATGGTTTGTCTTTCTAGGCTACCGTTTAAAATTCGATGGAGTACATACATAGTGGATCCTGGAAGCATAATGTCAACGGTTGCCAGATGAATAAGCATAAAGGAAAGAAAATCTTGTTTTGACAACTATGTTTTTGCAAGAAGCCCTAATTTTCTAGTAAAGAATGATAAACTTGATCGAATTCATGACAGCAGCTGGGAGACACATCAACGAAAGGTGTTGTAATTGCTGCATGTCCTAAACGATTTTATAGCCTTTTTTACCCACCACATTCAAGACTCCAAAACTCGAGAAACTGGATCAGTAATGTCCCCAAAAGCAACACTTGCATTCAATTTGTAGTTTATAAATGAGACTAAAAGGGAGGGAGGGGGTGGGGGTGGGGATGGCCATGCTCAATTTTGATAGAGATCAAAACAGTTGAAGTACTAGCAAGGCCAAGATCATTTGACCACTATTTCAAAGCGCCATATCAAGTTTGTTCAAGTTGACATATCGTTTTGGTATAGGACAGAAACTATGATGCATCAGTCAAGTCTATTTCTAATAATTTGACACCAATGACTTGCTATCTGGACAGCCATTGAAGAATTTGTACATATGGCATATTATTTGATATATTCTTGTTTGTTTTTACATGGGATGATAGAGTACAAACACTATAAGTGTGCAACATAAATACTACTAAATACTGCTAAATTATGCTAATCCTATTGTTTTCTATTGTTTAATTAGCACTATTTACTATTAAATAGTGCAAAGTGTTGCACACTTTTAGTGTTTGTATTCTAGAATGCAAACACTAAGAGTGCAACCTAAATAGTACTAAAAGTGCTAAATTATGCTAATTATATTGATTTCTATTGTTTTATTAGAGGTAATTAATGCAAGATTTTGCGAGCTTTTTGTGTTTGTACTTTACTATTTTGTTAAGGGTTTATGAATATTGCATGCTTGGCAAAGACTCATTTTGTAAAGCAATTACATATTGTAAAAAGGTTCAACTCATCCAAACTACATCATGGTATTTAAAGTGATTTACTTTGTTCTGCCCTCATTAATAATAAATTAATATTAATGAGTTTGAGAATTACGAAGGTCAAACATGAAAAGAATCTGGCTCAGAAGAGCTAACATTTGACAATTATTGCTGGATTACTAAATGTCTTTTAACATGTTTGATAACTTCACCAATTCATTCAACAGTTTTGACATTTTTGGAGGAGCTTATCTTCTAAATCAATTTCTGAAGCCAGTTACTTCAAAAGCTTCTATTGCACTTGTTACTGTGTAACTTGTAACAATTTGAAAACCATAATAGTGTTCCAAATTATCTACTTTCTTGGGTTAGCCTCATTTTTGTATAAAATATTCGTGTGTTCCAGTGTAGGTCCATGAGATTTTAACGTTTTTATGTTGTTGAGGTTGTTAATCATTTACTTAACCATTGGTAATAGTGAATATTTTGATGCTGAGACGAGGCTAACTCTGAATAAATGAGTCTATAGGCATAGAGCATATCATTTATTACTTTTACAAAATTTGAAAAAGGTCTACCCTTACGGCAGATTCCTGCATTATTCTGAATTATTTTGAATCAAGTTTAATGATGAATGTTTAGCAAACTATGAACCATACCTTCYATAACCCATCTTTCACTTGAGACACCTTTGAAACCACAATTTCCCATTGCTACTAAATTATCTCACCAATATTTTGGGAAATATATTTTTGAGCGAATGAACTATTTATTTTACAGTTTATTGTTTATATTATTAGAATCAACTTTTTAAATCCATATTCAATTTTATAGTTAGTGTTTGTTTTCCAAAGTTATACTTAGAAATACAGAATTATATTCCAGGCATTTCAGATTATATATATATTTCTGTTTACGGTACTAGCTTAATTGGAAAAAAATAATATGACTTTAATACATAATTGTGTAAAGTATTACTCAGATTTGCATCAATAAATCACGAAGTGTTAAACTTGGGGTTGTGGGAATAGGAAAGTGGATGAGGGAAATACAATATTATTCTGAATACGGAACTATTCTCATTTCATGATGATGATTGTGGTGGCAGACAGCACCTTGGTTGTGCATGGAGTAGTAATGGAAAAAGTTGCAGTGTTGGTGGTAGTGGTAAAAGTTGCAACGGTGATGGCAGTGGCAGAAGCGGCTTGAGTTATGATGGAAGTGATTGTGGTGTTTTTAGTATGTACTGGTACTTTTTGCAGTAGTATTTATAGTGGTGGTTAAGTAGCATATTAGTAGTGATAATGGTGTGCTCTACTTATTGCTTCATGAGCTCCTTGCACCTGCTACATGTCATACAGTAATAGATCTATAATTATGATCCCATATTCAATGAACTCTCAAGAACTGACTACTGTAATTCTTTGTGTGATCTTTGAACCGGTTTTATGATTCTCACAGTTCTAGTGATACATTTAATTTTTTTTTTTTAAACTTGAAGTTGTCAAGGTTGCCAGCTTAAAAAGATAGTAATGTTTCATCCTTAAAAGGCAACTGTTCTGCTTAACAGTTCAATAAAGACAGGTTGTCCTGGTCAAAGCTTTACTATTAACATAACATATCAAAATATATACCACTAAATAGCTAACATGAATTATTGCAACTACCTACTATTAGTATAGGACTTAGCTACTTTATGTATAATAAACTTACCACTTCTCTGCAAGACCTACCAAACTCTTCCTAACACATGTGAATCTTGAACTTTACAACTGCACTACTAACACTCTTCCAGTCATGTATCCAACCATTTTGTGTACCATATGATGGTAGTCTAGCCAATTAAAAACAAAATTTTGAACAGCTTCATCTTCTTTACTACAGTGCTCAAAATAGCATGGTCTGAGGACTGTGTTTTACTGGCCTGCTTAGCACACAGCAATTATGTGGCTAACACTGCATGCAGACAATTTGAAGTTAGTTGACAAGAATTAGAAGAGTGGCACTGGCGCTAGAGGAGATCCAAACATTAATGACCAAGAAGATGGAATAATAAAATCACCTAGAAGTAAAAGTATGTCATTAGTTACCGACCCTTTTCAGCTAAGACACTTCCACAACAGTATTTCACAGGGTACCCATGCAACTAGTCTTCCACGATCTCCACAAGACCATTCACCATTTTCCATACATTGGTTCACTGGTCAAACACCAAGCAAGGTGCCAAGGTACTTTCAAAGGATTATTCAAATTTTAACCTTGCAACCTCAACTGAATGCTTTGTTTGACCAGTGAACCGATGTATGGAAAATGGTGAATTCCACAGGGTGCCCATGTAACTAGCCTTTCAAAAGCCCATTCCACAGGGAAACCATTCAAATAGCCTTCCACTAGAGCCTTCCACAGGGTACCCATGCAACTAGATTTCAACAAGACCATTCCACAGGGTACCCATTCAATTAGCCTTCCAAACAAGACCATTGCACAGGGGACCCATGCAACTTGCCATCCAAAATCCTATTCCACAGGGATCCCTTGCAACTAGCCTTCTACAAGACCATTCCAAAGGGAGCCCATGCAATAAGCCTTCTGTAAGACCATTCCACAGGGTACCCATGCAAGTAGCCCTACACAAGGCTATTCCACAGGAAACCCATGCAACATTATCTTCTATAAAGTTTCTCATCTCTAATCTTCCAAGGAAAGTCACTTACTTGGTTTTCCTGCTAACTTTGATTCTACCTGAAAAGTTTAAATATTTATAACATAAATCAACCACCTTGAAAATGAGAAAAACAATTTTCAGAATTCAGAATTCAGAACTCATTTGTTTATTTCTATTGTTTTATACCTTTTCTTTATCAATGATGGTGAGCCATTCATTCAGGTAATAAAATAACCTAACTGCATCAGATATATTATCACCCTCAGAGCAGAACGTAAGTAGAACAGTTAAAGGGATATCCTTGTTGTTACTGAAACAAAATAGGAATAAAAATATACAAGCATTAGTAAAAATTAATGGGACATACAGAGGTTGCTAATAATATAGTTTGTAGCGATAATTGGTATAAATATCATCTGGTCCAGTGATATTTCAGATTAGTTCACGATTGATGGTTTTCAACCATTCCCAAGAGAATTAAATAACAAAAGACAYGGTGGCCATGTTGGAGGATATAACAAAAGAATTCATTGATARTTCTTTTGTTAAGTTCCTCCAACATGGCCGCCGTGAAAACCATCAATTCAACAAACTACAGTGAAACCAAGAAAATAAAAGACAAGACACATAGCAATGTCTGTAGGGGTTACTCAATTAAAAAACTGTGTTTGTGAACAAATATAAAAAATCTACTTTTATTACACTAAAGCTTATGTATTTTACTATATGTTAGTAATCCTTACCACAAATCAAACATTCTTTTTGTGATGCCTCCTCCAGGAATAAAGTATGCATATTCTTCATCTTTGTTACCTTGATAATAAAAAATAACGGAAACATTTCAAAATTTTTATATGCATACAGCATATAATTTATATGAATATTTGTCTTGTTGGACTTGGTTGGTGTAGCTGTCTTATAAGGTATTTCAATTCAATCTTTCTTTAATTCATTCATTTAACTTGTTAACAGAAATGGAAGATTCCTAAGGGAAGAGCGAAAATGGTGGACCAATATGTGTAATACGATGGGACCCATATCATATGGCAGCCATGCTTTATTCTCGTGAGAAAAGAATTAAGTGTACTGTTAATATGTTAATATACTAGTTCTGTTACTAAGGCCCCGTCCACATGTATCCGGAAATTTTTGTATCCGCAAATTATTTTTTGTGGATACGAAAATGTTTGCGTCCACATGCAGCGTATTTGAATCGTTTTCACCATCCACACGTATCCGTTTTTGTAAAATTTGCAGATACGGACACAAAAATTTGCGGACACGTTTGGACACAACCCGTATCTGCAAAAAAAAATTTGCAGATACAAAAATATCCGGATACATGTGGACGGGGCCTAAGTACCTTGGTCAATATCAGGATATGTGGGTTTCTTTTCCAGTCTTGTCCAGGATAAATTATCAAAACTCTTCACTAATCCTTCTGATGCTTTGGATACTAAATACTGAAGTGGAGATCTAGAAATGATATATCAATCATAATGTTAGGACAATGGGATTAACTATGGTTATGTTAAACATGATTCCATTAAGTTAATCTTATGACAACATATATCACATACCCCTGCATTTGGGAATCAACTCTTTCAGTAGCACTGATACTGGATAATAGAATGACTCTGTGAAAACCACAGCTCTTGATCCACTCAATCATCTTCCTGCAGTACAATGCTTGATAACCCTGATATAGACAGTGATAAATAAAAAGAAAAGGTTATAATCAAAATCTCAATGTTCAACAATTACTAAATAAAAGGCATTAAAATTTAAAAACTACCAACAACCCCGTTGTAGGAAATTATTCCTGTGGGTTGATGTCGACTCGAAAGTCTTAATTTTTGCAACAACCACACAAACCTTTAATATTTTTATTTATTGATGTACAGTCGAACCTCTATTAAGCGGTCATCCCTGGGAAAACATCAGGTGACTGCTTAACAGTAATTGCAGTGTGAAAAGCGTATTTCGGGAAATATTATAGAGGGCCGCTTCTGTAATTGACTTACTATTTCTTTGTTTATATAACTATTTTATTATTTTTAATGTTTTATGTAACTCCCATAAATAAGTATGTAAATAATTAAAAAAAGTCCAAAGTCTAACACAGAAAAAAACACATCACAGAAAAAGTTGTTTTGTTTGTTAAATACAGCATGTAATAAGCCTATAGGTAAATTCTTGATTGACTGTACCTTATTTATTGGAGCTCTTTGTTGTATAATAATAAGTTTTTGTTCATCACTTTTGTACACTGAAAGACCAAAGTCAGGCTTTAGTTATCACTCAGGAATAAAATGGTCATTGTTGTGCAAAATGACTTGTGAGAAAAGGCATTTGTGAAAAATATAACTAGGTGAAAATCCAAACTGTGTGTAAATTTTGAAAGAAATAGAGTGTATTTTATTCTAAAGAACAAAAGAATGCTGCTGTTGCTCTATTGCCTAATTCACTGTGTCTATGCCACTGTTTTGTCAAGACTGTCTCACAACCCCCCCCCCCTGAAATTACCTAAATCTGCCCTTGTAGAAAGCAATTATTGAATAAGATATCATAAATTATCAAGACTGAGGCAGTGTTATCTTTCAAAGCTGTAGAGGATAAACATGGTTCCATAAAATCAAAGATGAGATAGGGAGGAAATGCATAATAAATTATAATATTTATTTATATGATATAAACAAAATAATACATACCTTCAGCACTTGTATTAAGCTGTCCACACTCATGACCAGGTTTTGCAAAGGCATCATTACCAGCAACAGGAAGTATACTAGCATCATGAAGATAGCCAATGAGATAACGGCTTGATAATGCTGAAACCACTAAATCAATAGCTAGCTGCCCAACATTCCCTATGGAAACAGCTGGCTGAAGATAAAATTTTCAAAAATAGTTAATTAAATAAATATTTCCATAGCCATAGTTACTATTAAATTATAAGAAAAATTTAGGTTATAAAAAACGTTTACAATAACCAAAAATAAAAACTTTCCCTTTCAAAGTTATGAAATTTTTGCATACACAATACAGAACTTTGCAATTTGTGGCAATAATAGATTTATCCATAGACTTAAAAAAAGCGAGACCAAGATGCAAAATTAGGTTTTTCAAAAATAAGTTTTCTGCTTGTGGTTTAATGTACAGTAAGGGTTCATACCTAACTTTCTGCTCAAAACCATATACACGAGTAAACTATTAGGAATTAAAAGTAAACTTTCAAAGCACTATTTCAAAAGAATCATTGTCAAGCAACACAAACTCTTATAATAAGTTTGAAACTTTGCTTTTTTGAGACCAACTTTTGGACCATGAGTCGACATATTTTTGAACGAAAATTCAGCTACATTATGGCAATTTTTGGTACATGTTTAACGCCAAATAAAAATAAATTCAAACCAGTAGGTTAATTTTATATGAAGAGTAAAATTCTAACCATTTTCTTACCAAAATAAGTGAAAATTCAGCCCAATTTGGGAAGCCTTGCTCCCCGCTGCATGGCACGAACATTTTTGGACAGGCGTTACTTCAACGAGAATCTTCGTGCGATTTTCGTGGGATCTTCGTGAAACTTGAGTTTTCCGACATTGCGTGACCGCAAAAGACTAAATCACGGGCGGTCCCAGAAGGAAGTGAAAATACTTACACCGGCTACTAACACAGGCTGTTAAATTGTGACGTATTTCCGGATCTGCTTACAAAAAACCCGCTAAAATACAGTGAAAATTATCTAATTTTCATTTGAAAAAATTAGGACTTTGGACAACAAGTTCTGTCATGAGCAAAAAGTAAGAATTTTTTGTAAAGAACTACTATTTATTTTAAGTGACGTCACACTTAAAAGTTCTATAAATTACCGTACATAAATTGGGGTTAGTTACCCTAGCACAAGTTGGGGTCAGTAACCCTAGCACAAGTTGGAGTTAGAAGCCCTAGCACAAGTTGGGGCTAGAAACCCTAGCACAAATTGGGGTTAGTAACCCTCGCACAAGTTAGGGTTAGAAACCCTAGCACAAGTTGGGGTTAGAAACCCTAGCACAAATTGGGGTTAGAAACCCTAGCACAAGTTAGGGTTAGAAACCCTAGCACAAGTTGGGGTTAGAAACCCTAGCACAAATTGGGGTCAGAAACCCTAGCACAAGTTGGGGTTAGTAACCCTAGCACAAGTTGGGGTGATCGACTACCCTAGCGCAAGTTGGGGTTAGAAACTCTAGCGCAACCAGCGTGATAGCTTTTCCACGTGGTCAGGGTTGGAGTATGTGGGGGGATGGGACAGTCTACAATAATTTGCATAATTAAATCAGGGACTGGTACTTAATAGCTAATTTCCCAGAGGGAAAAAGGAAATACAGTGTTAACAAATATTTTTGGAGGTCCAGTTTTGACGTCTCCTCAAATTATAAAGTGACGGACAAAATGACGTCCTTTTGTGTCTGTGTTTGAATTGTCGAAAAATCACGTCAAAAAGGTAATAACACTTTTAATGAGCAAAAACTAAAAAGAACATGAAAAAATGCGCAGGGTTGTCGAGGCTGATGAACAGTCAGTCTGATTCCTGTCACGCTGTCACGCCATAAGACGGAAGTACAAGCGCTTATTGGCACCAGTCTTCTCTCGCCCATCTTCGTTCGCCGATCTTCAAAGATGGCGGAATTTCCGCAGCTCGGTGACCAGTGTCAAATGGCTTCTTGTAAACAACTAGGTACGATAGCTAAGGTTATTGGTATCACTGATGATAGATAATAGATTTTACAGGTTTTTTATTTTCATGCAGGCTATTATTTAGAAAAATATTTAAATCGATCTTCATAATTAACAGATCAAAAAATCTTAGTCGATCAACAAAAATTCAAGGAGTAAAATTTGATGTTCTTTTAATAAGGACTATATAAAGGATCTGGAGAGAAAACATTGGTTGATAAACTTTCTCCAAGTTTCCTTTTGTGGGCCCTTTGCAAAGCTGAAAACTTTTGACCACCCGATTATATTTGGAAACTACTGTTTTTTTTTGAACGGCAAAAATTTCAGCCCCCCTCCCCTCCCCTTCTAAATAATAAATAGTCCCTTGTACAAGTGATATATGAGAATTCGAACGAAATTACTTTATTATTATAAATATGAAATTAGAACACCTCATAACTATTATGGCTTAAATTTTAATCTCTTGTGACAAATTGAACTTGTTTAGATTTTCTGCCCTTCACATGCAGCAGTTGTAATGGTATTTTTTGGTAAGTGGATACATTCAAACCTTCAAATTATTATTTTTATATAAAAATCTGAAAAAGCCTCTGGCATGATCTAAGTCAGGAGATAGCTAACTCGCAGATCAAACCCTGAAATAACAGGCTGATCAGCGTCAGGGCACAGCACTCACAGATCAAATTGGAATCTAGTCAGGTTTTACAGATGGAGGAAAGCTTTACATAAGTTGAGTTTGTCTCTCTTTCCTGATTCGAGGCCTTTCCCTCTTGAAAATTAAAATTTGAGTTGTGTTGTGCATTGTACAGTAAATATTTAAGGTAGCCCAGTCAAAGGGTCCTCATAGGGAGTGATATTTGTGAATATTTATAATAATTATTATTAATTGATAAAATGTACTTAGCTATATATATATATATATATATTCCATTAAAGCAAGGAGCACAGGTCCAGATTGGCCCATGGATGTCCAAAAACTGAGGAGGAAAAGGTGGGTTATCTGTGCATGGTTATCCAATGAAAATATCAATTTTTCTGCCGAAAGAGTGAGACTTTATATACTCAGCCCTCTTATCCACTACCATAATGAAGTTTCATAAAGATATTAAAAGACTGACCTCTCAAATTAGACAAAAGGGAAGAAGGGAAGAAGCAAAGGGATTGAGGTGGGAACAGCTCATTAAGAATAAGTTGATTGTGTATATTTTAATTACAAAAATGACAACTGTTAATTAAAAGTAATAAACCATGTTCTGTTTCATTGTGGGTGCGAGATGCTTCTTTATAGAGGACACAGCATGCACACACATTTTCTGTTTTATATCACTTGTATTTTAAATAATGACAAYTCTACTTTGCATTTTGTACAAGAAGTAAAAAAGCCTTTTGATGTGCTGTGTGTATAGTTATGAAGCACTTGGGGACTGGCAGTCATGGATACTCGATAAGTGTTGAGAAGCACTCTGCTTCTCTCGTGTTCAGCAAATTTTCATATGCTTTACTGAACTGCAAGCCGCATKTGCACATGTTTATCCAAAGTACTGTTGCATTTGATATTCTTTCTTATCCTAGTCTTTAGAGGTTGACGACACTAAGTTGCATAAAAATGTTGATGATAAACATGTTTGCTGCTTTGATGGATGTAAAAACAGAGAATTGTTTCCTGTCAGCTGTGAGCACTGCAAGTTGAATTTCTGCCTTGGGTAAGAACCTAGCACAGTACATATTAGGTTATTAAAAGCAGATTTTCTTATGAGTGTAAATAGTATTGTGCTAACTCGTAAAAAAAGCAGATATAGGACCTTGTCCTTCTTTGCTTTGGTGAGCCTTGAGTTGGCGAGCATCTCTCAACTGGAGTAGGATAGCAAGTTTTTGACAGAACACAAATGCCATATCATGTGATTCATGTATAGTCACAAGTTATAGTTACAGTAAATATTATTATGGTTTTAATTAAAAGTCATATTGTCCTCCTAATTCAGGCACAGACACCAAGTTGACCACCAATGTACAGCATTACCTAAGGTGCAGGTGGAACTCTCTTCTGATGAAAGACTTAAACAAATCACAGGTTAGATACTAGGTTTAGGGTGATCGGATGAATGCCCCCTAGAAGCACCCCTGTCTAATTATTTTTAATTTCATAACACCAACTCACAAGATTTTTTTTGTAAATCATACTTTTGTTATAAGTTGATATTAAATGCTTAAATTGTTTTATCAATTATTTCTAGGGAAGGAAATGAGTAAAGTGAAAAAAGGTAAGTCACTGAAAATTGATTGAAGTTTCAAAATCTTTTTTTAAAAACATTAGTTCAACACAGTTCCCATATTCTAATGAAGGACTAATGTTCATTTGAAATAAAATTATTTATTTAGGCCGCTCTGGGGTGAAAAATGAAGCCAGGGCAGCTAAAGTGGCTCTAATGAAGCTAAAAATGAATGCCGTTGGTGACCAATCTATTCCTCAAGTGAGTGATCGGGGGAAAACTGGGATTACTTTAGGTCTGTTCTCCTCCCAGAACCTCTAATCACCCTTTAGATTATGACGCTGAGATTGAACACCATTTAGCCTAGTTGTACTCACAGTATCTATTAATAACACTAATAAGAGACTGTGTTTGAGCGAGTGTGTGGGTGGGGGGTGTTGGCAAACATTWAAAAAAATGTTAATTGAAGGGCTAAAGCCCCTGACATTGGGCCCGTCCCATCTCCCCTAGGCTTCGCCATACCAATTGTCTTCTTTTGTCCCAGTCAAAATCAAAAGGTCTCTATTTCATTCTAATATCAACCTTAAGGTCAAAACAAATAAAATAGTACCAAAATATTTTTTTCTTGACTTTTGGGGAATTGCCAACTTGTCATGCCATTAACCAGTGTCTAAGCATTTTGTTTTGATTTATAACAAGTTATCTAGCACACTGCAATTTGTTCAGATTGCCATCTTATCCTTACTAGTTTCTGCCTTTGCTAATAATTCTTGCTAAAGATTCTTTAGTTTGTACGTAATTCTTAGTTGTTGATAGTTTGTGGAAAAATTGTACAAAATTTATTTTATTTTTATTTAGTTTTTAAAAGCGCCATGAGAAAGTGGTTGATATGAGTGCTATAGAAATGCATTATTATTATTATTATTATTACATGTATTATTATTATTATTACCATGACAATAGCCCACAGTCATGCCATGTCACAGTCTTGATTAATGAAATCCAATGTAAGCAAACCCCAGATTTCCGACACTGAATGAACTGCCTCTAACATAACAATGCCTTTGTGTCTATTAAACAGTCAGAGCGTGTTTACTTTAACATATATCTTCCACAAGGACATAAGGAGAAAACCAAGGCAATGTATTTTTCAAAGGTATTTTTTTCCCTTATTATCTTTGACACCCTGCTGTGTATATTAATTATTATATTATATTAAAGGGGCACTTGGATGCAAAATTGTTCCAAAATTAAAACTCTTTCATTCAAGCTGGAACTAAATAACCTTGGATACATAAATAATCAAAGGAAAAAGGAAAGGAAAGGGTCAAAATTTTACGATTTATTTTTGTTTGCCATTAAAGAGGGTAACGTATTAACCCAGTGAGTTATCTAATTTATGGCCCTCAAAGTCTATTTCACACTTTGATTCAAGTTTTTTTTGATCTGTTTATTGCTCAGTGTTGGACTTTAGGTAAAGTGGTGGATAAAATTGCATCAACAACTAGATTAAAAAATGAAAATAATATCACTTCTAAGAAGGTACTATCATATTCATATAGAGCTTTTTCTGAGATAGCGAACATGGTGCATTGTGGTCCAGCTTCGGTACAAGCATCATGCCTTAAATGGTGTTGTTTGTATTATATCTAGACCACAATGCATCCTGTTCATCGAACTCAGAAAAGGCCTATGACAATGTCTTTTATTATGTTGCTTTATCCCAGACAAATTCAGTTTGGGCATAACATTGTTATATACCACATGTCATTTCCTGTACTGTTTCTATGTTATTTTAAGACAGCAACCATTAAGGAAAGACCTTATTCTTCTTGCTGCAATGTTTTCCCTTTTCAGACCAAGTAACATTAGGCTGCTTCATAGCCCCACTTTTGGGGTTTTAGCCATGTTGCATTATCTTATAATGAGTGGCAGGCTGTGGCRGATTTAGGGGAGGTTCATTGGGTGCAAATGAACCCCCCCACCGGCTGGTACCTTGGATTTTTTATAATTTTTTAAATAAATAAATAAAAGTATGGTACTAACTCATGAGATTTAATATTAAATGGGACTGGTGGATAGGTTATCCTTATCAGGAGCGCCCCAAGGCCAGTGATGTGCCTCATGGGAAAAATGATGATGCAAGAGAACGTTATTGTTGTGCCAAGATTTGCAAAACTGAACCCCCCTCTTAAAGTCCTGGATCCGCCACTGGATCCAGGATTCCTGTGTATGGAGTTGAGCCGCACAGGGATTAAGACGATAAAATTGATGACGCCGAAAACTTGCCACTCATAATAAGACAATGCAACATGGATAAAACCTTGAAAGCAGGGGTACAAGCAGTCTAAAGTATTATTTTCTATAGCATCATTTCTGTGTTTTAACAGTTGTGCATAGAAGAAACATGAATATATAGCAAAACAAAGAATCTTGTTCTCAAGAGAATAATGTTTGGTCTGAAATGGGAAAACATACGACCAAGTTGGTCTATGAGACATGAATTCAAGAAAAAAACCAAATTACTCGTACTTGTATTAATCCAATGATCTTTTTCTGTCATTTTTAGAAATTACGCTTGTTCCATTCCCGAACAGGCGAAGTATTTCAAACAGATTGCTTATTAGAAGACTTAGTCCATGATGAAAATTTATTGGTTGTCAGTGGAAGTGATGTAATACTAGAGTATGTCACTAACGACTGTGGAATGTTACCCAATGCCCAAGATTACAAAAGTTGACAAGAGGTATGAATGTCAACATCACTGGCAATGTTATTCCGATAACTCAACAATTGAGGATTGTAGGAGGACTAGAATTTTTTGTGGGGGGAGGAGATGGAATGGAAAAGAATGGGGTGATGCTATTTTTAAATCGGGTCGTAAATGGCAATCTGGTAAATCCTAAGCCTTCATGCTAAAAGTGAATGTCCCCTTACCTGGTGTGGGATATCTTTATCAAGAATGGTTTGTAGCATTAGGAATGTAAAGAGGAAAGTAATCAGAACACTGGTCATGTGATTACCCATGGCCCCTGTTCTACAAAGTGTTTATAAGACAACCTCCATTTTATACTTACTAGAAATATTATTTATTGAAACCATGTAATTTATTTACTCCCCGCAGTTGAACTAAATCTAACATGTACAGTGTTTGTTCCCTTTATTAAGCAGACATGTACCTTAGTGACTTTGCATGGTGCTTAATAGGGGTGTTGCCTGCATATGGGAAAAAAAGTTTGGTCATGATTTTACTAAATAGTGTCCGTTTAATAAAGGGTTACAAAGGCATCACTGTACTGCTGACCTAGACGAACTTAGTCACGTGGTTCATTTTGCCCCTCAATACTTGCCATAAAAGTCCATAATACCCATATATATCTTTGTGTTTTTTGTGTCGCGTGACTTGTCCAGCGAGCGTATTGGGTGTTGAACCTTGTCAATATTAAAGCTATATATTAAAAAAATATAAGATAAACAATTTATAAATTACTCTAAGAAATATTTCCTATTCGGTGAAGCACAATTGTCACATTCTAATATTATTCCTGAGTGACATTTTTTAACTGTTACTTAATATATTGCTTATGCATGTAGCTCTATCAATACCTTACGTGATGGTTTGCAAGCATGTATTCCAAAGAGAATTAAATGAAGAATACTTGGCAACCATTTTTGTGGCATTAACGAAAATGCTAATTAGAAGTCTTTTGTTTAATACCACCAATATGGCCGCGATAACATAACATGCAAAAGAGGTACTTACTAGGAGGTGAATGTTGCCTATTAGGTCATGTTATCATTTCTCACCATGGAAAATCACAATAAAAAATACTTCTTTACCTTGGGTGTAATGTTTTCCCATTTCAGACCACTAGAGTATCATTTCTTTGTTTGACTTTTGCACACGAGAAGACACATAAATATTTGCAACTCAAACAAAGAGTCTTATTTTCAAGAGAATGACGTGATATGAAATGGGAAAACATACCCAAGGTAAAGGAATTCCCATTTATAATTGGTTTGTTCCCCTAACTGGAACAAATGTAAATGAAGTCAGTGGCAAAATTTCACTAGTTAACGCAAGATTAAAAAAACTACGTCATTTGAACTATGATCTTCAGCCTTTCCTAGCTATTTAAAACTCAAATCAACAAGCAATTGATCGAGTTTAGGTGGAAACAAGTGGCTGCGTGCAGCAACATTGCGAGACAAGTTTCAGTAGCTAAGAGTTTCACAGGTGTACCATATTATTCTAGCCTAATGAAACTTTCTTGGTAAGAATATAAAGTTTAGGTGAAGAAGTAAAGCTACTTTCTACATGTGCATAATTCATAAAGCATGTCACTGGAAATCTTTCAMAGGATTTTCACTGTGTATGTAAACTTGCCTTGCAACATTATTTCAGCTAAATGTTTCATTATGGAATAACGCATTTGATGGCCAATTTCAGCTCTTACGACAAAGCATCTATGGAGGTAAGGGGGAAAGTGCGCACCTCCAGTTTTCTATCAACTCCTTTTCCCGTACACACCTATTTAAAAAAACATCGGTCCAAGTGATCTGAAATGGGGGATCTGAGTCTAAAAAGAATTTTTGTGTTTTTATGTTTTGTAACTCAAAGGACATGCCTCATATACCAATCTAAAGGAAACTACGTTATTCGGCTGTGAATATATCAAGTTCTTTGAAGCATGCTACTCGGTCTCAGCTTTCAGATATCGAAGCTCCAACCGAGAACATTTTTTCAAATAGGTGTATAACTGCAACATGCAGTTGTTTGCTAGCTGGGAAAATTTGAATGTTGTTAAGTATTTGCTGGCAAATGTGATATTGACTAGATACTGGCTGCCTTAAATGAGTTTTACTTTTATTTGCTTGCTCGGAAGCTCATGCCTTACCTAAAATGGGGTGCATCACTTCAAAAGAAACCGTTACCAACGTAAAAAGACAGCACAATCCGCATTCAGTTCAGTTAGGTTTTGAGGCTTTTGATTCACAATTTTCCACGTAATGGGCATGTAGTTGAATATTCTCACATACAGTGCTTTGTAACGGCTATAATTTACAGAGCCTGGGCTTCCTGTGAAGCATCCCCCAAACTATATCAGTAACCCGCTAAGAAGAGTTGTCGAGATTGGCCAAAACAAACAATAGTTTTCATCGTCGACTCGTTCTATTGTTTTGTTTGCGTTGTTTCGCGTTCTATTGTATTCATCCAATAGGCCTTTTGCAACAACAGGTCACGTGACTCTATCCCCCGTAAAAAGAGACGTGTCAAATTGAACACCAGAAATGGAAAGAGCACCTCGATATTAGTAAGAAAGGCAAAGTTTTAGCATACTATAATGTTAACTATAGGAGAAATGGCATTGAATATAAAATCGCATATTTTATAAGGATTTGTATGCGAAAATGTGCTGGATGGCAAGCTCACAACTTCAATTCYCTTTTTTACGGGGGGTCACGTGACCTGTTGTTGCAAAAGGCCTATTGGGTTAGATCTTCTAAGAGTTGCGACCTTGCCCCAATTATGAAAACATTACAAGTTTCTAAGTAGTACTTTGGTTATCTATGAGGTTCGAGGTTTTAGAAACTTTGACATGGTCTTTTCGATCGGTAACACGAGTCCAATCACTAACCCGACGGCAACCAGTAATGTGCCTCATCCTCGGGACAAAAATTAAGGCACTTGAAAGGCCTGGAGTTTTGCGTTGGATACACATCGATCACGTGACGTCGACGCTGACCAGCAAAGTGAGACAGGCTGTCGTCAAGGAAACCAGGACACTTAGGAGAAGTGCACTCGGGTCCACAATGGAAAGACTTTGAAAGGTTTTGAAAATCCCGTTTACAAATGCTCTCGACAATGCTGACTGCAATTAAGACAAGGATATCATATGGCTTCTGCTGGTCAGTATCTTTGGGACTGTAAAATAAGAATAACTATTAGTTAACGAGGTGTGAATTGGTAACATGTGTCCTCTATGCTCGTTCCCACAGCCCACGTTCCTTTTGGTTTTCACGAGGAAGAGTTTGTTGATACACAAATGGGAAAAAACTACACAATTTGATAGGGTAAGATTTACAGAGCAATTTTCATCCAGGTYGAATTAGAATTTTAGTAGTTGTTTTTTTCAGAGGGAGGAAAACCGGAGAACCCRAAGAAAACCCCTTGAAGCACAGGAGAGAACCATCRAACAACTCTACTCAAATAAAACGAGTCCGAGAATCGAACTCGGGTCTCATTAGTGAGGCGAGCGCCAACCCCTAGACCCATCCTTCACAATCAGTGTTGCCAGAACAATAAAAATACAACCAGAAAAGGCTGAAATCATTTCTTGGCTTCGTCCAGAGCTCTTGACTCCTTTGTAGGACRACAACAAATGAGAACGTTGCCCAAGCCTGCATTTCTCCTGGTCAGAAATTACCTAATTTCTCGCAGGCTCTGGTAAGAATCTTGGCCCCACAAAGTATAGCGCCGAAAGATGTATGCTTTTGGGGAAAATAAACGGTCCTTTTTCTCCCAAAATGTGCTGAAATTCACTCATGCGCAAAGATCGTTTTTGCTTCGTCGATATGTTATTCTTTTCTAAGAGTTACTATCAAGGATTTAAACTTTACTGTGCAACAAAATAACCGGGACTACTCGAAGAAAGTTAACCAATCACGACATAAAGTGAAAACAAAGGAATCGAACTTAAAAACTTGAACCAATCAGGAGCAAGCAACGAAACCTCGATATCTGAGGTAACAACCGTACCCAAACCTTCAACCCTTAGCTTCTCAGCTTTTTAACCGGCGAAAAATCTAATTTTCRTTGAGACGGGTTTGGGTACGAGAATGTAGGAATGACTGAAAGATTGTGRTTGCCCAAGGTCAATACAATTCTGATTGGCTAATTTTTTTATCTTAAATTTTCTGGTCCCGGTTAGTGTGACCGCAAAGTAAGCTTACCTGAAAGTTACTTCAATTTGGCCCTCATCTTGTAGTAGTCGCAGGCAATAAGGCTGATCAGGAGAGAGCCAGAACAATCCCTTGTCGCGATAGATCACAAGTTTATTGTCAGGATCCACATTAAGAGTCAGCTTACTTGCACGAGAGAGAATGCGGTAGAACAAAGCTTCTGGAAGAAAATGGTTAAAAAAGATGTAAAATTTCTTATCCTTTTCCGAAGACACCCAGACATTTTGTAAATCTGATGGCATTGGCAGGAGTGATGGTACAAAATGTGTAGTCTGCTTGATGGGCTGAATGTTCTGCATGTCATCAGATGGGTGTCTAAGGGGACAAAGTAGATCATATTCCTCCAAAAATGTCGTAAGAGAGGACTCTTCGTTGTCCCCTACGTGAGATAAGACGCTTCTCATTAAAGTTTTGGTTATTGTTCCTCGTTTTTTCAGAAGCTGCCAGTGTCCTCTTTTTCCTCTTTCGYTGGCTAGTTCGTCAGGTGGATTGATCAGCAAAACTACTGCTTGTACTAGCACATCGGGTTTTAACAGAACCCAGTTAGAAAGTCTTGGGTCCTTGTCTAGATAGATTATAAAACCCTTTTTGTGGAAGTACTTCAGCATTTCAACATTCCATTCTATGTATAAGTGCTCAAAATGTTTCTTGAAATCATCTACGGTGAGACAAACTGGCCCTTCTTTTGTTTCTAAGTAACGGATGATAGCATCCTGGATTTTGATCCACGAGAGTGGTATTTCCTGGCCAATAACACCCTTAAACTCATCTTCAGCCACAGACCTGATCTTTTCGCGGAGTGTTAGAATACCATTGTCTGATAAACCTCTTGAATTCTCGACATGAAAGAACAATAAACCATCTTCATTGTTAACAATGATGCTTTCATTGAAGGGCGTGTGCCATACTGCTTTACGAATATGACTGTTGATTACTTTCAGAGTGTCCATTTTTATGTTTGCTCTGTGAGTACCAACCAGGAAGATAGGTGTGCCCTGAGGTACATGGCTGTGGATTGACTCCAACCAGAAACGAAGTCTCTTTACTCTGGACTCAATGTCCTTGAAATTGTCCTTAATGCATTCTTGGATGTCAAATACAACAGCATAAAGAGCATTGCTGTTTAGAAAGATCTGGTGGTAAGCATAGTAATCCTCATCTCCTGCAAAGTCCAGTATTTTCAACTTCAATGAATGGAACTTTTCATTGAGGGCATTTTTCAGCYTTTTCATGTCGATAAGAGCCTTCGTGACTTGAACAACGTGGAGAAGAAAATCTTTGTATAAGACAACTTGTGTAAAAGATTTGCCATTAAAGTCATCTTTGAATTCCAGCCATTTTCCATGGACATGAAGACCAACTCCTAGACTTAACATAATAATATTGGATATTATATTAATGAGTACATTTCTAYTGCCAAGCTCCGTGAAACACAGTGGTATGAAGATGATAAGTTCCAGGAAAAGCACGGTCAATGTGCACGTCTTTTTAAGTATATTTTGGTGGTGCAATAAGGCGATGTGCATCAGGAAGGTGACTATGCATTCAAATGGGAATACAGTGGAAGATCGGTAGCAAGATAGCCCAATTGGAGCAAAGAAAATTAAGTAGTTKAAAAATAGTACGACTGGTTGTAAAACCTCTTCTCGGTATCTGAATACAAAGTTAAGCAACAATGTTCCTGACATAGGAAGCTTGAACAACAAATTTTGCAGTAAACAGAAWATCGGTCCAATGCAAACTAGGGAAAACCACTCCAAAACGAAAAAGATCATAGGATTCATGACATGGAGAGGAATTATGTCCGCTGTTACGAGATGATTGAGATATGAACTTAAACGCATTGCGACTGGTTCGTCAGAGCATCCAAAAAGCTTGCATACAACATACATTGCAAGAGTTTGGAAATATAACATAAGTAATATAGTGACAGTGCCTTTCCCTATGCAGAATAGAAACGAAAGACAAGTCATAGCGATAAAATATATCAGCCATCTTGCATTGCTCTCCCCTACAACAGCTCCTAAAAGAATAGGTAAGACAAGAACTAAAAGTATAAGACCCATAAATAACCAAAAAGGTGCATCAACAGAGCTATCCTCGTCTGAATCCTCATTAAAAATTCTTGGAAAAAGTTTGATTTTGCAGACGATTTTCTTAGAATACTTATTAAAGTCTCCAAATTTCAGATTCTGAAGATCCAAAGTCTCCCATATCCGGTCCACAAACTTGAATTCTACACCACTGGTTTGGTTTTCCTCTGGATCGAACTCCTCTCCAGTCATTGCCTTAACAAGACTTGTTTTTCCATTTCTAGGATCTCCCAGAACAAGAAGCTGACCCTGTAGTACGTATTGTTTATCTTCCTTTTTTGCTGCCACGTCTCTTCTTTCAAAACCTATTTCCTCCACCATGTCCTGGAAAACCTTGAATGCTTCTGGAGGAAGCCCTTCCATTTCTGCTTGAGCGAGGACATTTTCTGCTGTTTGGAAGTCATTGAAGTCAGTTTGGAAATGTGATGTACGAAGAGGCATGCGGATCAGTGAAGTCACGGCTTACATACCTCAGAAATTCCTGTAAACAGGCTGTATACCCACGATTTTTAATAGTAATCGTAAGAACTTGTGCCAAGTACTATAATTATGTCTGTTGTCAGTGCTTCTGGGATAGCAAAAGAAAAGTTTCAAACAAATTTCAAAGAAATTTGCAACAAATTTCTGTAATCCTCTGACTGTAATCTTATAATTCCTTCGTGTCAATTCCTGTCCGCGCGATCGCCGAGTTCCCTGGAAAGCGGTATCGCGTATCTTATACAGTCACCAAACACAGCACTACTTGTGCGAAAATCAACTGTATATATCAGTCTAAAATCAAAATTTAAAATAACCAAAATTGATTTTTAAATAGAATCTTTTCATCTTGTTCGAAAAATAAAATTTCTCGGAAATCTGTGCCGAAAAAGGAAATAATGCCCACAAATCCCCACGCGCTTCATCTTTGGGCCCAGGCCTCCTCAACAGTTAACGTCATTTGACATGAGGAGGTTGGGGCGAGTGCGCCAAATTCAGTTGCCAAACAGTTGTCAAACGTCCTTTGTTTTGTTCCAGTTATTTCGCTAGATAATTCTAAAAAATGTCCAGTGCATTACCAATGGTCTTTCAGACCGATATTCTACCCTATGAGGATCGTTTTTCAGTGTATCAGACTGAGATCCTGGGTGAGTGTGGAACGATGCAAGTTTCTTCTCGAATCAAGAAATACGTTGCACAGAAAGTGAACCCCGGTGGATGGAAGGCCATCTGGAGGAGTACACCAACCAGTAATGGCACTAAACAGGCCTTTGATGTCGTTATAGAGGTCAGTTTTGATCGTGTTTGGCTATTAGTATGTGCTGTATGAAAGCATCGTAATATAACAGTACCTGGGCTAAGAACTTACTAAGGATCTTTGATTAATAAGCTTGCCTAAAGGAGGGGGGGCTAGGATGGCTATTTAATGAAAAGGTAATTTTTAGAATATTTTTTTTTAATGTCAGAACCTCTTCTTGTCTATTGTCAAGCTGCATTGTATTGATTTTATCATTGCCAATAGTATTACAACAGATGGCCGGAGGCAGTATAAAGTATTACAACAGACATTATTATTTTGGTCTGATCATCACATGCTAGCATAGCAAGCTTTATGAATTAAAGCTTTTTAGGTATAAAAAAGGAAATTTGAGAATTAATCTTGGTTAATAAGGGATGATAAGTGACCACGTATGGAGAGGCTATACCCCCCCCCCCCCCACCTGCAGCTTTTTTAAATGTTTTAAACAGCCATAGATTATTTTCCATCATATTTATTTGTATATTACAGGTCAATAATGTCAACGTTGATGATATGACAGCTGACATTACCATATGTGAGCCGGTAGTATGTCAATCACCATGCAATAATCCACAAMTGAAAATAGAAGTGGCCAACCAAAAACTAAGCAATAATAGCAACGCTGTACCTATAGTAGAACTGTTTCCTGTGTATGACGAGTCAGGGGAGAATGATGATACGGCACTTGCAATTGAGCATGTCAGGTATGCATTCATTAAAAAAAGTACTTCCTTTTTCATGGCTGCAGCAGTCAGCAGGGCTAAAAATAATGGCTGGACATCAGGCAATGTCTGGTCAGAGCTGGGACTTGTCGGGTCAAATCTTTGCCTTGCTGGTCATTTTGACCAGTGATGTTTAGTCAGAAATAAGGTATGATTTGGCTAAATCTAATTTGGCCTGTGATCATGGTTGGCCATTGATCGGCCGTTATTTTAAGCCCTGAGTAAGATTCATCTATCGCCAGCCCAATCCCCCCTTCTCAGATCCCTTGATCCGTCCATGGATGTGCATGGACACCAAAGAAGAGATGTTGTATCGATCATTTGCTACATCTTTTCTTAATGAAAACTACCTATATAGGTGTCCAAAAAGGCATCTTTTCATTTAAAAATGTTTGAAATGATAACTGCATGCCCCCTTCAAGTTTATGCTTGACCTATGTTTCTAATTACTACTTAGAAGTTTGCTTGAATAAAAGCACTGAATAGTACATGTATATCAAATTATTAGGACCAGGGCACATTTGTCTGCCCTAGCTGTATGAAATCAATAATTGAGATTTACTTTTCAAATTTTTCATAGATTTAATGGGAATGAAGAATTTATTTTGCATGAAGAACAAGAGCGAACTGTATTAAAGAAAATGAGTTTTAAATATATCTACAGGAAAAGTACCTACAGATAATACATTTACAGTATACAATCATGTCAACCTTATAGAAATAAGAGTAAAATTTATAATTTGTAATATTAATTATTTGTGAATATGAGTTAATTAATCATTCATAATTGTTGCRAAATTTTTAAAATTATAATTAATGATTTTCATATTGATTACTACTCATGTATTTAAACTAAAGGTTCTTTTATGATCACATTTGGCGTGAATGGGATGAGGATGATGACAGTGATGGTAGCTATACAGCCCGCTTCTTAGAGACCCGACTGAGACTTTACTATGACATGCAGGATGGAACGCTGCCGAGAGAGCTCATCAAGAAATATAGAGGTTTGTTTTTTATGTAGTAGAGTTGGTCCTTATTAGAGTGGGGGTTGAAGGTGGCAGGTGGAGAGGGGACAGACGGTGCATGATGTAATGGTCATACTTATGTTTAACCCAGGTAGATTTGTGTAACTTATATGATTAGCTCAGTTACGTTTAGTTATCCTACATACTAGCCAAATAAACCTTAATTATTTTCTTGTCTATCAATTTTAATATACACCTACTAGTAAGAACATTGTCATACGATATTAGAACATTAGTAATTTAGTGAGAAAGGAATACATTAAAAGACAAAAGAAAAAGTTCAGCTTCAGTGATCTTCTTTTGTTTTTTAATATAATTCCTAGTAGGTGTAAACTGAAATAATATAATTAATTTGTGGGGTATTAATCAACTACTGGTATTATTGTATTCATAAAGCTTTCCTTCGCCTCTTCCTTGAAGCACATTAATTGATTCTATATACTAGTGTTTTCATTTACATGGCTTCCCTCTTTTTCTACTCTGTGTATAGCCACTCTTACCCCACGTGAGATGCTACATGTACACAGACTATTCCTTTCCTTACTATTACATAATATGATTGAATGATTCAATTTTAACAGAGACGTATGAACAGTACAAGCTTAAGCTGGCAGAACTTGAACAACTAAGAAAACAGATGTCAGCAAGTGACTCAGAACAAGAACTGGATGACCTGGATGTTCTGAAATGTGCTCAAAAGACAGAAGAATGCAACACCCTCGTTAACTCCTTGCAGATGATGGAAAACCCTCAGATGAGGTATTTGCTGGCTGCCGTCTCGCCTTCTGCTAAGGCTGCTCTGCGTAAACCAAGGGGCCCCAGACCTGAAGGAGAGTCTCCTGTTACATTTATCGTTACATCAAAGATGACAGCTGGCATGGTCAAGTCTCTACCAGGTTGATTTTCTTTTTGATATTTGAACTAGTTTTAATTTCCTCTTTAAAAAGCTCATCTCAAAGTTTAATTTCTCACTTTAGAGCTTAGCATTGATAGGCGAGGTCTTGAAGCTGTGCTGCTATAAAGTACTGATAGGCAATTGTGAATCCTTCCCAATTGTGGAATCCTTTCCCACCAAGTGTTTCCATCAATAATAGAAGACTTTTTACAAAAGTGTCCAGTGTTAGCCAAAATGGAAATTAATAGATTATAAAATAATTCAAATATTTGTGGTCACCGTAAGTGATTTCAAGTGTAAATGCACAAATTCTCGCTTTCTTAATGGCTAACTAGTAAAAAAATAAGCTGGGTGGCCACGGTTACAAAGGAAAAAAAGCGGATTCCCAAATTGGGAATTTGTTGGGAATTTCCTTGAATTCCCAACGAAATTCCATCCAATTCCCAGAGAGAACGAAATTGAGAACGTGGCACTGATTCCCAGTGTTAGGTTGTTGGGAATTTTGTTTTTCTATTGCGTATTAGAAGGAAATTCCCAACAATAAATCCCAACGTTGGTGTTCGAATTGGGAATTCAAGGAAATTCCCAACAATCCCCAATTTGGGAATCCAGTTTTTTTTCCTGTGTTAGGTGCATCGCACTGTAATACTAGCCTCTAATCCTGTAACCAATCCAAGTTCTTCATTTTCGCAGACGAAACAATCATTGAACACTACAAACATCTTGCTGAAGCTTTGGAAGTGTACCATGAAGGAGACTTGATCCTTGTCCACCCAGGAACCTATGGTCTGGATGGCACGGTTAATCTAACAGACGCCGTTCACATCACTGGTATTGGTGATTCGAATAGAATTCTAGGTGAGTTTTGGCGTGAAACGATAGGGGGGTTATAACTTGCATTGTGGGCTAGCATTGCATCCATGCCATTTTTCAACATGTTTAATTCGCACTGGATCAAAAAATATATATCGCAGATTTTGGGTACAGGGTACAAATCGTTAATGGCAGCTATACTATAGAAAAAGACCTGGGAAGAAAGGAGAAACGGAAAAATATAGGAAGGAAGAGGAATCATTAAAAGGGAGATCAATAGCATCCAATTAATTGATATAGAAATTAAGTTTTTGGTGTGTCTGCAGAGGGAGAAATGGTTTTAAAAAATAAGTGAGGGAGGAAAACTGAATAAAGAGAATATTTAGTGAATGCCTGTTCCTCTCTGCTCGAGACGGAGTGCAATATATTTATAACTCGAATTTTTTTTGTTTTTAAGTTTTATGTGAGGACGATGAAGACTTTTCCATCGATTGTCATGCGCCAGGTATACAGTTCAAGAACATGACGTTCGAGCAAGAAGGTGAAGGGGGACCACAAGGTATGCTGGTGATCAAACAAGGGGACACGACTCTAGTAGACTGTCAGCTAAAATGTGGTATAGCTGGTATAACAGTCAAGAATGAAGGGAACTTAGTAATGAAGAACTGTAAAGTTTATGATGCAAAGGTGAGTACTCCTGAACGAAATCTTGTCTAACGAAGCTGATAAATGATGTAAAAAATAGATATACTCAAGAGAAGATGAATATTTTCTTGATATACTTTAACACACGTTTCAAACGTTAGTCCTTTGTCGGATTAAATAAGCAACATTAAGTATATCACTTTTCTATTCTCACTAGGCAATACAAATTTGAATAAGAAAAAAAAATTCGCAATGGATTTTGGTAGTGGTAGTAAAATGACGCCATCATACAAACGTCCTATTGCTAAAAACTAGTTTTGGAAAGACTCGTAATGATTTGATCGCGCAGATTCACGCAGTAGGATTCATTTAGCATAGGAAAGAGTCACACAAGGCGTAATTCTTTCCTACTTGCTTTATCAGTCCACAGGTGTAGTTGCTCAACCCAACAGCACCATACAGATAGAAAAATGCGACTTCCACAACTGTGGACAGGACAACAGAGACTCTAAAGAAGGATTCAACTCTTCAGCTGCCGTCCAACTCCAGCAAGACTCTTCTAACAAACCTAAAGCCACTCTAACTGACAACTCCATTCACAATAATAGCGGCTATGGGGTGTGTGTGGTCCGAAGTGTTAGCGACCCTGATGAGAACCCTGAATGTTCCGTCAATTTGGATGTAACAGCAAATAAGTTCAGAGGGAACGAGTTTGGTGATGTTGGGCACCTTTACCTCGACACAAGCATTTGAGGAAATCAATAAGTAATGTAAAATAAATTCACAATATACCCTTTAAGCTTGGGCGTAATGCTTTCCCATTTCGGACCACGTGTTTCCTAGTGTATAATTTACTGTACTTAACCGTACTTAACTTAACGCGTACTTAACTTTAACCGTTGCAGAGGTCGGTAAACAAAAGCAAAAATTAGAATAACTAAACAAGCAACCTCTTTGATTCGAGGCTAAGCCCGCATACACTGGAGTTTTAAGAGTCGTCAATATGAATACAACTCAAAATAGTTATCTGATTATCAAGAAAATGGTCTGAAATAGGAAAACATTATGCTCGAGATAAACTCAATATAATAAATGAATGGAAATGATAGAAGGAAAAATGAAATGTATGCTTTCCACCTCTTCAAAGAAACTTTGATAAGCATTTGAATAATATTGGTGCAATTGTAGAATATTAAATTAAAATTGAAAAAAAAAACATTGAATGCATGTTGCTGAGCGACTGAGCTGAGAATGTAACAGTATCTCAGGGGTCAAAATGAAACTATATAGGGATATTTAACAATTATTCGCCGAAGGTGAAGTGATTATCGGGAAATATTTACCGAGACGCGAGTCTTCGAGCGGCGAGGTAAATATTCCCCAATAATCACCGAGCCTGAGGCAAAAAATTGTTTTAGTATAAATACACAGGTGATTCTTTCAAAAAAAGAAAAAAGAAGATAAGAGGCATTTTTTTCCGGTAACAACAACAAAGCGGCTGGCCGCCATTTTGGATTTTCGCTGGAGGTGATTATCGTGTGATAGTGTGAGTTTCTTGACCAATCAGCGAGATTTTCTATAAACACCTGCGTATTTTTACTAAAAAGAAATATCACAATTGTAAAGTCAGTAAAATTACACTGAAGCTATTTGTAGTTTGATAATATCATAGCAAGAGAATAGTTAGTAGAAGTTAGTTCATATTCTCTTGATCAGAGCTATAGAGAATTGTTCAATAAAACAAATCCTGTAAGCATTATGTAAGCGTTAATAACTTCATATTAGAGAGTTTTAGATTTACGTTCACGGCAAACGTGAAACGTCAGTTGACCAGTAAAAATTTTTTTTAAATTACTGAAAAAAAATCGCAAAAAAGTCCAAGTAGTAGAAAAACAAAAGAATATTTGTCTTTGGTGAGAAGGTTTGTAAAAGGTAAAGTAAAATAAAGGAAAACTATGAAAACTTGGTCACGTTTGCCGTTTGCGGGGAGAAAAAAAAGTCAATCTAAAACTCTATTGTCAAAAATTTCAGTAACTTATGGGAGAATACTGACATGATGTGTGAAGCAATAAAATAGTTAAGAGAACCAGCTTTAACAAGAGTCTTTGTGTGGCTTAGCGGTATAGTACACTCACCTTTCACTTGTAGGATTTTGGTTTTAATTCCTTTAATCTTCAGCACATGTGAGTAGAGTTTGAAGAGTCCCTTCTTTGACTCGAGGGTTTTCTCCAATGGGGAGGGTTTTCTCCAATGGGGAGGGGAGGTGGTTGAAATGGGGTACAAGGGTACCAGTAATTCAATGGAGTACTTCGTCGATACGGCGGCCATCTTACAAGGAGGCAAAAAAACCGGAAAATATATAGTTACGTTTAATTGTCTTTCTTTTATGGATGTGCTGTCTTCATTCATCTTTTGTTGTATTCTTTTGCTCCCTGGCCACCCCATAATGCCTTGTGATCCAAGATGGCCGCCGTAGGCAAAGTAGTCCAGTCTTCCACTCGAGACCAAGAAAACGATAGAATCTAATCATTAATATTATTACCGCATGGAACTTAACGTCTACAACCCAATCAACGATAGAATCCCACCAATATTCACCTCATGAACTGACTTTATTCAAATAATAAAACATCTAATATTATATATAACACGTGCATCAAGAACGCCAGTCAAGGGTTGATCATCTTTAAATAAATAACTCCAAACACTGACGTAATGAACCAAGATGAACACATCCACCACAGCAAGTAGGAGAACACCCCCTGAAACAGCTCAGGTGAGAGCACCCCTCTGAGGCTAAGTGCCGCTTCTCTTGTGGAGTTTGAGATAAGATTGGAGTAGTCGAGACGGGAGGTGCCTCCCTCTGGGATGGCAGACCAGTCTGTAAACTCTAGGGGAAAGAAAAAAACAAAATGAATCACAGATTGTTCGTTGTTTGTGTCTGTTTACTTAATCGGTAAAGCATATTTACATTTATGCGACCGATATCAAGGTTGTCACTGCCCGGGTTTTTTACCGTTTCAGTGGTTCTTTTATGTCCCACCAATGCAGGATGAGGTAAAGTGGAAAGACGGGACAGCCATTATACGCGGTCATCCGAGCCATGTGAAGGCCTAACCATTTTCAGTATGATGTTATTAAAAAGGCAGTAGTACCTTCTCAGTTATATCAAGACCCTGAGTGTCCGGCCGGAACTAGAACCACGAGAGTACGATGCTCAGCCAACTGAGCCAACCGGGTGGCAGTACCAACACCAAACACCAATTTAATCAAACCCTGTAACAACCCCTTGGCTGATCAAAGTCAGGGCACGGGTAACTCGCAGTTCAAATTGGAATTTATCGTTAGGTTATGCGCAGGAAGGAAAACTGGAAAACCTTAATAGAAACTTTTCAAGTTCCAAATTACCGCTGGGTTTCTTGATTACAGACTCATTTACTCAGGCTTAGCCCCGCATCAGTGTCTAAATATTCAGAAATACCAACGGTAAAGCAAAGAATGCACAACTTCAACAAAACAAACACTTTGAAACTTGAAGGACCTTGACTGGAACACGTGAATATTCTTCACAAAATCGAGGCTAAGCCTGAGTAAATGAGTCTGTAATTAAGAAACACAGCGGTAATTTGGAACTCGAAAAGGGTCGAAAAAGACCATCCAACACAAATCACGTGTTATGCCTAGTCAGGTAACTGAACCAGAGACCCCAGAGTAGAGGCAAGTGTACCGATGTGCTACCACTATAATACCACTCTTAACATTATAATACCACAAATCTAACTATTAATAAAAATGTAAATTTGTTTCTTCAAAGCTAATTTCCTCGGGGGGAAATCCGAGCTCTTGTCGGTCAGGCATTCTAACCACTCTGAGCTACTGGAAACTCATAGTGGTAAGCGAGGTCTATAGATTGCATTTAGTTAAGCTTTGAAGAAATAACTTTACATACCCTACATACCATMGAATAATAATAATAATCATGATAAGAACTTACCTATCGTTCTCAGTACCAGAGCTGTGAACAATATGAGTACCGTGGGAGCCAAGTACTGTAGTGTTGCTGCAGAGAGGTAATAGAACACTCCCGCAACCTGAGAACAAAAAAAAGGGGATTTTTTTAACCACTTGTACACCCTATATTACAACAAATTTGGCAGATTTTAATATCGCTTCAAAATATAGAAAAGCAGGATTTTACTAGTGTTAGTTATTAGGTACTAGACGCAAGGAGATATGCGATAGATCATTTCAAGACTGAAGAGAGTTATGGATCTAAACACGAATAATCGAGGTCTCGTCGATAATAAGAAACACACGTTATTCAGCTATTCATGAATTTTGGAATGACCTATTGCCTGTCGCCTTTGCCTCTGACAACCATTTCTGATAGGTGTCAACAAACATCATTCAGCGCTTACCTTTCTCTGTAGGTCTATATTGGTTATCCTGCCTGTTTCTCGTTTGAGTTTCTCCATTCTCTCCTGTGCCATGTCGAGGTAGGACTGTAGGTGTCTCCACGTTAAGCATAACCGAACAATACAGAAAAATACTACCAAACCGATACGAAAGCCATCGAACATCGATTCACTCATTCTAAAAATAAAAAAAAGCCAAATGCATTAGGACAAAGGAAAAAAGTACACTGGGAAACGTACGGTATACTGATTTGAAGAATGTACACGGTACGACATGCCGTAACATTCAAATGGCTTCCCATTGTCTTTCAGTAATTTATCCAATCACAACGCGTGGTTATGGTCACGGTACGACTATGAGTGTTTCCGTATCGCTTCCATCTCATATGAAAACCGCTCAAAAATGACGTTGAGTGTTACACAACACGTTGCTATGGCACGGTTAGAGTAGAGTGGTTGTAGAAGTTGTAGTATGAATGAGAAAGTACTGCACTGACTTACAGCACGACCTTGGTACGTCATACCCTAACGTGGGACCCACCCAGACAAAGTTCTTTTCTAGCTGAGCTTCCAAGTATTGTGTTATGGGTGCCGATCAATATTTAGAAAGCCCTTGTCAACACAAGTGAAGTGAGTTCTTGGACACATTTAATATCGTGAAAATGCATTTTTCGGTCCTCTATTTTGCTAATAAATGCACGATTTCTACATTAATGCTGTCCTCATAAAGCCAGAAAGTAGCGAGTAACGAGAAAACAGTACTTACAGAGGTTTCGGTTCGTTTTGTATCAACTTAGTAGCTTTTGGTCTTGCAGTGTGCCATTCTCCTGTCACTAGTGGGTCTTTGACTATAGGTGTAATCCAGGTTAACAGAAGAAATAAGGGAGACAGAAAATTAAGATGAAGAAGAGCCCTGAAATAAAGAGAAAGATGAAAATAAACAATAGAAAAATCAAAAGTGTGCATGCACGCTTCCTATTACTAGCAGTTTCTGTTGTGCTGTATCAATCAGCTGAATGAAGCTCATAGATAATGCTATTACTCAGCTGAATTTTAGTTTATTAACCTCATTACCAGCCTTCAATGACAAACAAACACTACACATCATAGGCTTTCAGCCAGAGTATTCAATTGCTTGCTATCAATCAGCTGAATTAAGCTTATGAATCTCAGTACCAGCCTACGATGACAAACAAACACTGCCTTCATGTGCTTTTAGCCAGAGTATTCAATTGCTTGCTATCAATCAGCTGAATTAAGCTTATGAATCTCAGTACCAGCCTACGATGACAAACAAACACTGCCTTCACGTGCCAGAGTATTCAATTGCTTGCTATCAATCAGCTTTATGAATTTCATGAACTTTATTACCAGCCTACAATGGAGTGCAAAGACTGCCCGTCATGTGCTTTCAGCCAGAGCATAGTTAATAGAGGGGACTCCATTAACTATGGCCAGAGTATTCTACTGATTTCTTGGTATCAATCAGATGAATGAATCTCATCACCATCATAATATGAAGTGCAAAGACTGCCATCCACACTCAAATCCATGTACAGTTAGCAGGGAAAGCCTGACTACACAAGACTGGAATACTTACACCATGTACTTAGTTTCTCTGCAGTAATACAATGAATCAAGATACATGTTAGCTACTCTCATGCCAGGAAATCCCATGAAGGCACCAAGAACAGCCGATGCGATGGCCAGCATAAACTTGAACACCCAGATAGGGGCAGGCTCTCTAATGAAAAACAGTTTTGGCAAATATATTTATTTTGAGATGGTGAAGCAATTGGCCATTACCACTCACCTCTGGGGTCTTAAGTTTGGTTCCTGGAATTGGTAGCAAATGTGAGTAGCTTGTTAGGTCTCAGTCCCTTGATCCGAGGGTTTTTCTTTAGGTTCACCGGTTTCCATCTCCACAAAACCTAACACGCTTTATTCCATTTTGATTTGTGAGTTTGCCATGCCCTGACTTAGACCAGCCCAGAGGTTATTTCAGGGTATTGATCAAATGCGAATGAAACTTGGCACAATTGATAGCATTAATGAGCACCCAGGGAACATCAGATGCTACTTTTACATTGCAAATAGACGGTCCTTGTTTGTGGTGTGACAATGTTTTCCCAATTTAGCGTGACAAACCTTCACGGGATTCATTTTCTTTTGTTTTTACTCTTTGAAAAATTCATGAGTATCCCAAAGGATACGAAAGGAATAACGATGATATCCTGACAAGTTTCAAAACAATAGCTCTTCATTCCCCTAGAGGTTTGTCACACTGAATTGGGAAAACATTGTCACACCACGAATAAGGTCTATTTACATTCAACTATAATGACAACTATAAAATCCAGAATAGGTACACAGGAATATTTTGATTTTACCTTGAACTGAACCCTTGTTTTTTCAAGAAGTCAGCAGCCTTTTTAGAGAACTTCTCATAACCTGCATCCAATTTAAAATCCAGCAAACTTTCATCAACCACTAAAACTGCCATGGCTGCCACGAAGAAGAAGAGACCAAATGTCAGGCATATTGATCTTTCTCCTGTGTCCTCCCCCCTCCAGTAGGCAGCTGTCAATGACAGTAAGACTTTGCTAAAAATTGTTAAGGAAGGACCAAAAAACTGTGCACAGCCAGACACATTAACTGGAACCACTTTGACTGTGGGGGAATCCCATCATGTATGTATTAAAAGGGTGGGGATGCTTGTTGGGAAATTTTGAAAATTTTGACCCCTAACAGGTAGGCACACCAGTGTCTTGTCCACGAGGGCATGACAACTAATGGTTTTAACCTCTATAAGGTACCAACTGCTCATTAGCAATTGCAAAATGTAAACTCATCTACAAAGTGAATGCTAAGAAACAGGTAAGCTGATGGACCAAAAATAAACAACTTCAATGATTTTAATAGCGCAGCGCAACCGTGACGTCATAAAAACGAAGACAAAGGCGAAATTTGGACAAACAAACTTACAAGTTTACTTTCAGCAGATAATTTTCACAGCCGATCGCAGTTGATCTTAGTTTACATGGGTTATTATTGTAACTTTAAGTAAAAATAATAAAATTGGTTCGTATAATCCTTGTAGCAGTTAAACAGAATGCAATGTTTGTCCGAATCTTTAAGCTATTTTTAGAATCAGTGCGCTGCGCTATTACTTTGGCGAACATCCTAAGAGGTGCCAGCTTAGTCTCTGGTGGTACTTTTACACCCTTTATCAAACAGAAGCTCCCCCCCGGAATTTGATTACATACATTTGATATCAGGTAATTGTCTACCAGTGATTGTTTTGTTTTTCCTATTTATCCATTTCTACCACATTAACATTTCTCTYAGTAAAGGATACAGTGAAAATAAAATAACTAGCAAATTCCAAAATAATCCAAGGTTGAACTCTTGAGAAAGAATTGCCGGAAAGAAGCAAGCAAACGCTTCAATAAGTATGTTTAAAACTGCAGCACTACAAGAAAAATCTATCAGCCATTTGTAGTCACTGTAGAGAAACTGTGGTAGAACATCGAACTCTGCTAACTGAAAAAATAAAAGAATAAAACCAAAATGTTATGCAGTACTTAGAGGGCAAACAATTAATCCGTGAAACGCTAATTTACTAAATAGTACAAATTAGTGCTAATTAGACAATAGAAAACAATGGAATTTGCATGAAATTGTGCTATTTAGTATTACTAATGTTTTACGGTTATATTGTTTGCACTCTACTAGTTTTCTTAGACCTACATGGTTGTTTAATCTACAGAAAGGCTCGTCTTTGTTTTCTATCGTTATGTCGGCCAATATCATAGCCATGTGTGCTTTGCTTTTTACCCGAGGGGGACTCCGGGAAAAAAGTACCGGGGATGCTCGTCATATCTCTTAGGGGCAAAAATTCGCGATTTGGAATCTTTTAGGGTGTTAAATGTGAATTTTTGAAAATCAGCATTTTCTGGTATCTCTTAGGGTGTAGGAAAAGGAGAGAAGCACGCATCGATATGGCTTATCCTAGGCGCTTTTTTTGTTGCCCTTTTTTAAAGACTTCCAGTATCTTTTAGGGGTCTTTTTGAAAATTTCCGACGAGCATCCCTGGTACTTTTTTCCCGGAGTCCCCCTCCCCACCCCCCACCCCCGGGCCTTTTTAATTCTTTATGTAATGATTGTAAACATTCTAGAATCTGAGTACAGTAATCCAGTATAAAAATTGTGACTGTTTAATTTTACTATTATTGTTATTACAGTCAAAAGACAGGCCCGCCACTGAGGGTGGTCAGATGATTTGAACAAACCCTTCCCCCTCTCAACTTTTCTAGGAGTACAAAAATGATGTTTAGCCCTATTTTAGTTCAAGAGTTGACATAACTAGGATTGGTAGAAAAACAAACCACCACTTTCAAGGTCCTAGCGACAAGCCTGAATGATTCTACCCAAAAAATGATTTTTGTATATTATATTGTATTCAATAAAAATATTACAACTAATGGTACGAAATAAAATATTGTGATTGTCATCGATTATTTAAACCATTCTAATTTATTTAGCATTTAAAAAAATTAACATACCTTGGCTTTTTCAAGTTGGATGTCAAGAGAGCATGGAATGGTGAATGTATTATCTGTACCATATGTACTGTCACTTGAAGACCCTTTTCTAGAAATTGGAATATAAGTTTAGTTAAAATATCTACTTTAATGTGTCTTCTGACTYTCCCCTTCCTACAGGACCACAAAGGAGGAGCAGCACACGTCATCAGTGCATGAACATAATCTTCAATAGGCCATGTTCAAGATACATGTATTCAAATTATAGCACGATACAGAGGCTTTCTGGAATAAAAACTTAAACATTGTATTAAGTCAGAAATATAAAGTGCTGTAAATTTGAATATACTTATTTCAATTAAGTTAGTCACCAAAAACCTAGAAAGCTGAGATCACTGAGCATCATGGGAAATCTTTCATATCAAAAAAGCATATATATATATAAAGCTTTTTCAATACAAACACTGCAGCTTGATGATGCTCAGAAGAGGTGAGACTGTAACTGGTAAAAGATTCGCAAGTCCATGAACAGTTATCAAGCTGAATTTACCCACAATCTTTGTCGGCYTCAGCTTTATAGCTTTTCAGGTGACTAACTTTATTGAAATAAGTGTATGCTGCAACATTGTTTAATAGTGAATTGATTATGATTTCTATACCAAAATCTTATTATTATTGCTGGAAGGTAAGAACGTCATGTTAGGTACAGTACATTATTTTATTCAGGACTACCAATAAAATTCATGTATTYGATGATCCATGTGTTTGTACCACATATGAAGTAACCATAGGACTAAAGCCTCCAAATCAAGTCTAAAATTTAAGTTATTGAACATGGCCTATTGAAATCTCACCTTGTTTCATAGTTATTTGTTCTTTTCCTGTTTCCTTTTGTGGTTGCAGTTGGTTTACCAATCAAAGCTTTTAACTGATCATCAGTTGGGTGAAGATATCGAATTAGCCTATTATAAACAGTTTCTTTAAGTTAATATTATAGCTTGCTCAACAAGACCAGACTAAATAGCTGGGGCTATGGTTTCACGATAGCCATTATAAGGCAAAAAATAATCTTTTTCCTTCAGGAAATGAAATATCTTGTCATGCAAAAATATTGCTCAGTAATTCCCATACAAAATGACTGTGAGAAAACTAATCCAGCAAAATTGGTAAAAGAARACAGTTTTCTTAATTCCAAAGAAGGAATCCCTGTACCATGCATATCATAGTGAACGATTACATACTGTAGTGAATAATGTGGTTCAATCATTGAAGTCAGCATACTGTAGCTTGGTTACATGATATATATGGCAATAATTTCTTTGTCATTCATGTGCCAACCAGAGGTCAATTGGCTAGTGACACAAGCCAACATGTGACGAGCTCTTGTAAATATAATTTTTAGAAATAATTTTTACAAATAATTTTTTGGTTGGAATATAAGCGATGGTATTGTTAGTAAACATGAAGTATTGCTATTCTTGAGGTGCATGTTACATCATAGTCACCATGTTGGTTGATGATAACAAAGCAATAATTCAAAGCTTGTTACATGTAGACCAACCAACATGGTGACTGTTTCATTCTTTTTATATCTCAAAGTATTTTGAGTCATGTGTGGTTGCACCCCAAGAATAGTGCTGATTGGTGTTAATTATTGTAAGATTAGCATTGCAATGTTAATTTACCAACAATAGTTCTTGCCAAGTTGCTTCGTTTAAACAGCTAATTGATCTCTGGTTGGCATAGTAATCACGATAGCTTAAGTCACAGCAAGTTACCGCCAACTTTAATCAGGATAAGATTTAAAAAAGTTAGAATCTACTAACCAGCCATTACAAAGGATCCATCTCGCTGGAGAAAGATAAGGCGAAAGCTTCTGCAGGAACGTAGCAACAGTGATACTCAAAACGAACTGAATCCCAAATAAAGCCTTTCAAAAATCAATGAACGAATTTAAAAGATGAAAGAATGGATAAATCTCCGTCAAACAAGTGCACGTATCTCGATCAAAACGAACCAGTAATACGATCCATATAAACAAATGTGGCTTACCATGCTTTTGGTTCAATTGATCTCTATTCAAACCAATAAATAAGAATTTTAACTTGGATATTTCAAGACATTGGTGAAGACTTTTAGGGAATTCTCCTGAAATTCTCCTTAAAGACGAGAAAGTACTAGGCGTTCCTCACATATATCAGAGAGAACCTGGGAAGTGTTACCCAGAAAACTGTTCGACCTGTCGCTTGACTAGGCCAGGAAAATGGAGACAAAATATTTTTTCTGTTGTTTATATTCATGTGCACCTGTTTTTATATGCAGTTAATAAGTGTCACGCTGTTTTTAAAGGTGAGTTTGGGAACGTTCAGTTTAACATATAAAAACAAAGGGGGAGGGGAGGGGGGTCGAAGGAAGATGACGTTGATTCTTAAGTGAGGCCCAATGGCAGCAACTTTTGCAGGCAACACTTTGGGTGGGGCATCATTTTCAGTTTTTTATGCTGATGAAGGTTTTAGTTCAGAAACCAAAACGTACAATAGGTCTCCAATGTTTTTAGGATATTTTAAGTCAGAGACAACCTAAAATCAGAATCCACTTAGAAAGTATTGTGTTCCAAACCGTATCGTGGGTTTGCAATTATTCCCAAGAGAGCAAGAGAATAGAATATTCAAAAAACTTTTCCGTTCAATAAATTCCCACTAAGAGTCTAATGGCCCAAAGTCTAGCCCCTTTTACACTTATTCATTTAATAATAGGGACGAAAATATAACGTGTATTGGAAGCTATTGGAAAACTCCGGAACCAGACGCATGTGTTGAAAATGGGAAAAATCTCTCAAGGCGAATTGTGTTAATCTGACATGCAATACTTAAGACAGATTCATATCAACCTTTGTTAAAAGAAATGAAAAGTGCTTTTAGAAATATTAATCTTGTGTTGATGCGTAGCATAAGAGGATAAAAGAAATTATAACAGAGATAAGGATTTCTGATTAAGATGATTTGTCTTCGTTTTGGAGTGAGTTTTTAAAATACCACACAGGGTACCCAAGCTTGGTTTAGTGAACATCTAGAAAATTAAAAAAACTGTTAAAAGTGTTAAAGCAGGGTGCTAGGTATGTTCTTAAAACACGATTAAACACACTCTAGAGGTTATATTTTAATATAAATGCTGTACAGTGTCTAAAATTTTCATTAAATGCTTGGGCTTCCTGTGGTTTACGCTTCGTAAAATTTAAGCCACGACGCAAGAGTTCATGAGTAATTACTGTTTATTTACATTTTCCCCCAAGCTGTTCAAGTTATTATGAATGAATATTGGTGCGTAGCATGTGTGCGTAAATCAGGATTTTAAAGATTTCCGTTCCGTCGCATCATATCAAACTTATTCCATACATTTATGAACATTTGCTCTTTTTAGCGCCTAGGCCTACGCGGACACATTTTAATGTACTGCGCATGCGAATCAATCCCATATATGGATTTTCAAAATGGCGGACACGACTCGTGTAAAACGTGAGTCAAAATTTCCAGTGAGGTATATGCAGGAATTTTCCTCGGATTTTSCTTCAAAGCAAAGAAAATCGTCAAAGAAAGACAATAATCTTTATGACGTGGTAGTAACTGAGGTAGATAAGTCAAAGAAGCGAATAAAAATCCACTATGTTGGGTATAGTACAAAGTATGACGAGTG